CCCCCACCCCCGCCCCACCCCTTAGCCAACTCTGGTCCCAACTCCCTACCCTGGGGGACCAGAAGCAGCCTCCAACTGAGCCTCAACCATGCCTGTCCCCTTAAATAGATCTCACCCAAATGAAGATGATCTGCTTTTGAGGAATAAAAGCTTAATTCAGAGTCTTAAAGGAACACGATAACAAATTGCCTTTGTAGCTAAGGATGACTCTGCATCATCTCATTTGACTCTCATCGTGAAATGTCTAATGCCCGCGTGTCCCATCGGGAAGATTCGGTGTGGTGAGGCGACCCTTTTACTGGACGGCAGGGTTGGATCTGAACCAGGGAGGGTAAACCATAGACCCTCCCTTATTCTTTTATTTATTTATTTTAAAAATTTGCTATAGGGTGTGTGAACCCACTGGGGAGAGATGGAGAGGGAGGGTGAGAAAGCGCTCCATGGGGGAATGGCCAGGCCCCAGTGCCTTATTCTCCGTCCTCTCAGGATTTTGGGCACGCATGTACACATTCTCAGTGTGTCTTTCAAACCACCAGGTCTGGGACTCATATTACACAGTCGGCCATGTGGGATCCAGCTGCCTTAACCCCCATGCCACCTGCCGGCCCATACACCCTCCCTTAACCTAATTCAGCCTGGCCTGGCTCCCAGCCCCCGTACTCACTCGGTCTCCAGGCTCCTTGCTCAGCAACCAAAGGGCAATGACGATATCACACGTGGCATTGACTGGGGGGAGGGTGGCTATGAAGCCCTCGGGCTTTGCCTGGCCTTTGGAGGTGGGCGGTGGCAGCTGCATGGTGGGCGGCAGGTTGGGCATCCAAGCACAGGAATCAAACTGAAGGCCAAGCAGGCAGAATGAGGACCAGGAGCCGGCCACCTCCATCCGGCCACCCCAGCTCCGGCCTTCCTCACCTGCCCTGCGCTGACAGCAGAGTGCTTGGCTGAGCAGTTGAATATCACCATGGTGACGTAGCACACCAGGGCGTCCCGGGTCTCCAACGAGGACGGGATACCTGTGGGCAAAACTGGGCTGGGACCAGGGCTACTAGGGTCCTGAGGACCGTCTAGAGGCCCAAGGGCAGAAGGACCCATACCTGTGCTGTCCCAACCTAGGAAGCCCTCGGAGAAGATCTCTCGCACCCAGGCCTGGAGCTCTCTGTCATCGCGGACAGACACGTCACTCGGGTAGTAGATGTGGATTATTTCCGAGACAAAGCTGCAAGATGCCCTGGGGTCTGTTCCTGCCTTCGACCCTGTCTGGCCCTCCTCCTTCTTCCCAGTCATCCTGCCTCCCCCACAAGTCCCTGGGTTCCCCTGCAACAGCCCCTCACCGCTCCACTGCACCCCAGATCTGCATCCCATCGTCCCGGTAGTAGTAGCCTGGGATGTCTGCAACCCCTCGGGTCTGGATGTCCTTGGGCAGACACAGGACCGAGTAGTCCAGCTGTTCCATGTTCCTCTGTATGAGCTCGGAGAAGCCGCCGATGCCAAGGCCTGTGGACTAGGGGACAGGACTCCTGAGTACTAGAGATCTTGCTCCAGCAGCAGGAGGTTGTGGGGCGAGGGGCCATCCTGCCCCAGGACCCCAGGTTCTTCCCATGGAAGGAGCCTCCCCCTGCGCCCCTCCCTAAGGGAGCTCTTACCCTGTCCACCACCTGCCCGGGGGCGATGAGCAGCTCTCGGGCGAGCGTGTTGATGTGCAGTGTGAACCGCGTGTGTGGGATCAACAGCTGGAAGGGGCAGGAGGTGGCAGACACGGGTGAGGCCTGGCTTGCCCTGGCCCCAGACCTTCCCCACAAAGCCTTGCAAGTCACTGGTGGAGAGATGACAGGGTGAAGAGAGCAGTCGGTATCTTGCTTTGTAACCTCGGGCATGCTCCTTGCTCTCTCAGGGCGGCAGATCGTTTTATCCAATCATCATTTTATCCCCTTGAGCAGATGGCTAACAGTGACTTCCTAACCCCCAGGCAGGCGAAGCACCACAAAAACCAAGGCTTGGCAATGTGGAGCCATCTCCCAGAGCCCCCCTTTGCATGCCAGGCCCTGAGAGCTGCACATGGTTAGGAGTCAGCCGGGGCTTAAGGGCACAGAGAAGGGCCTGCGTCTAAGCAAGAACTGGAGACTGCAAGCAGCCCTAGACCCTGGGAGGAGAAAGCGCCTCCCCTCACAGAGCAGAAGCCTCAGGTCCACGGGAAAACTACCCTGCCGCTCATGGGCCTCCCTCCCAGGCCTCTTTGCCCCCTGGAGTGATCTGCAGACAGCCTGTGGGTCCCTCAAAGTCATGTTTGCACCTTGGCATCTGCAAGCTCCCGGTCTCTTCTTTCCTAGGGTTTGGGCTCCTGTCTGAGCTCCCCTAAGCAGGGAGGCTCTCTGGGGCATGGCTTTCACCTTACCAACTGCAAAGCAGGCTCCCAGGGGAGGTGTGCGAGGAGACGCTGCTGAAAAGGGATGGGGCTCTGAACCCCAGCCGGGAAGGAAGGGTCTGCTGCAGAAAGGTGCTCAGAGGGGCAGTCCTAGGCATGAGGATCTGGGGCCTAGTCTGGGCCACCATACTGAGCCACTGACCTTGAAGAGTGGGTGGCAGGGGGGCAGCTGGCGTAGTGTGGCCAGAGTGAAGACCTCGGGCAGCAGGTGCTCGTGCAGCAGGTGTGTGATGGCCTCGTGGACAGAGAACTCGGCATTGCGCACCCAGGTCTGGGCCAGCAGCCAGTCCCACTTGTCATCGGTGGGCAGGAAGATGGGACTGTTGGGCCCAGGGGTCTGGCTGAGGGGGGTGAGACAGCCGGCTGGCCGTCTCCCAGCCATTCGGTCGGACCACCGCCCTGCCCCTGCCCTGCTGCAGACCTGGATGGCGAGGGGCAGCAGGGGCCCGCACCCTGGGCGCTGGTATAGTAGGGTCATTGGGGCCGCAGAGAACTGAGGTCTTCCGTTAATGACGTTGGTCTGGATGCCAGAAAGGATGCCATGATCCACCAAGAACAGGGAGCCCCTCTGCAGGAGAAGGAAGGGGTGCTGGGGCTGCCATCTGGCTTTCTGAAGGGTGGGGGTGGGGGTAGTAGAAGGGAGAGGCTCAGGGCTGGGAGTGGGGTGTGTTTTGGGAGAGGGTAGAGGGTGTTCTTAGCACTAAGTATGCAGTAGGTCCCTAACAAATGTGAAGGCGCCCCTCCCTCTCCAGTAGGGGGTGGGTCTGGAGACACTGAAATGGGGGTACAGAGCCTGGAGCCCTGCGCCCCTCACCTCCAGCTCAGCCTGCAGACTGGTCCCAGGGCCCAGCACCGGGGCCACCATGGCATCAGTGACTGGGAAGTTCTCTGGGAGGCGGCGACAGCGGCGGATCAGGACGGGGTTGAGGCCGTTCAGGAACTGGGAGGCGAAGAAGGCGTCCTCCTGCCAGTGCTCAAACACGTACTCTGCAGGGTGGGGACACGGGGACTGGTCACCCTGCTCCCACAGGTGTCCCCTGACTTTCACAGGGGAGTTTCCTTCTGTGTCCATCCTGGCACTCCATGGCTTTCTCAGGGTGACAACCCCAGCCCCTTGGCTTCAGCTACTGCTTGTTCACCAGACAGCATCTTAGTCCCCAGCCCACCTGACATCCCTGGATGACTCACGAGCCGCTGGTGTGACATACCAGGTACCCCTCCCTACCTGATGCACAGGTGACAGCTCCACTCCCTATCGCCCCCAGCTGAGCCTGAGAACCTCTCTTGTCCTCCCCCTCGTCCTCCCATCAATTCCTGTTGATTCTCCATTCTGAGTACCTCCTGGCCCCCCGGCCCCCTTCCTACCCCCCACTCCACTCTCCTGCACTCCCTTTCTGAAACCACCACTCTCTCTGGGCCACACCAGAGCCCAATAGCTGAGCCTTGCACTCTGCTCTTGCTCCCCAGAACCCGACCCCACAGACAGCAGCGTTCTTTCTTCAGGTATCAGATCCCTTCATCTTCAGCTTTGCTATCCCCTGAGCCTTAAATGCCTCTGCCCAGTCTTGGCATTTTTTTAAAGAATCATTTATTCATTTATTTCTACTTGTTATTATTTTTTAATTTGACCAGGGAGAGACAGAGAGAGAGAAAGGGGAAGCAAGCCACCAGGTCCAGGACTCGAACTGTGGTCAGTCATGTGGGAGTCCAGCATCCTTAACCACCACACCACCTTCCGGCCCCTCTTGGTATTGCTCATTCCTATTCAGCTTTGAGGTCTCTGCGTAAGTCATCCCCTTGTGTGAGTTTTCCATGGCCCCCTCCAAGCTAGGACAGGCCCCCCTTTTGCACACTCATCAGAGCCAACGGGCAGGTTTCATATTGTTTTGTTTTGAGTTGGCAGAGGGTGCTCATCAGAGAGAGAGAGGCAGAGGCAGAGGCAGGGAGAGGAAGAAAGTGTGTGTGATCGCGTCATAATCTATTCTCCATCCCACTGGGATTGGGCGCACGCACACACATGCACCAAGTATGTTTTTTGTTAGTCTTTGAAAAAGAATTATTTATTTATTATTATTATTTTAATTTGCTATAGTGCATGTGTGCTCATCAGAGAGATAGGGAAAGTGAGAAGGCAAGCTACCAGGTCTAGGACTCAAACTGCAACTGGCCATATGATAATCCAGTACCCCTGGGACCAGCAGATGGCATGGCATAAGAGTTACGTTGCTGGACTTCCATGTAGTTGACCACGGTTCGAGTCCCGGACCCAGTGGCTTAAACTCACACCAGGCACATGTGTGTGCATGCCCAAGATCCCGAGAGGAGAATGGAGGAGAAGGGATTGTGATGTGGCCGTCCCCCCTGGGGAGTGATTTCTCGCTTTCTGTCTCTCTGTCTCTCTCTGTCTTTCTGGTGAGCGCACACACCCTATAGCGAAAACCTCTTAAAAAGAAAACAATAAAAGAGAGTCCAGTACCCCAAACAACATGCCACCCACTGGCCTCCCAGTGTGCCTTTCAAGCTTCCTGGGCCAGGACTTGAACTGCCTTTAGTCATGGGGGGATTCATCTCCCTTACTCACTAGTCTATGGAGTCAGCCCCCAATGAGGACATTTTTTTCACAAATGAAACTAATTATTTGATTTTGAGTCTATTACGATCTACTGACCTGCTCAACTGGGAGCCCTGTGAGCACGAGGACCGTGTCCATAACCCCTGGCCCAGAGTCTGATGTGCAGTAGCTGAACAGAAGCTCAGGGACCCCATGCCTCTACCCCCAGCCACATCTCCTTTTTTAAAAGCTTTTTTTTTTTTAGAATTATTTTTATTTAACTTTTTTATTTACTTATTTTAATTTGACCAGAGAGGGACAGAGCAAGAGACAGAGATAGAATGCGAGCAATCGAGAGAGAAAGTGAGAAAGTAAGCTGCCAGGTCCAGGACTCGAACCACAGTCGGCCATGAGGGAGTCCAGCGCCCTTAACCACCACACCACCTGGTGGCCCCACCGCATCTCCTTTTATCTCTGTGGGGGAGGAGGTCTGGCAAGCATTGCATTAGTGCATGGTTTCCTGACAGCCATGGGAATGGACGTCCTAGGGAAGAGGTCAAGAGCCCAGCCCAAGTGCCTCACCAGCTGCAGGCGTCTTTTGGAAGTTGAATATTCTTTTCATCTCCTTCAGACTCCTCCAGGGCCCCTTGCGGTCCAGCAACCCCTTGATCCTCAGCTCTGCAAACCTGCCAGTGACCCGAGGGGTGGGAGTGGGGCAAGAGGCCCTGGGAGACCCTCCCTGTCAGCCTTATCTGTCTTGGAATCTCAAACCAGTGCCCAGGACCTGAGGTAGTCCCTGCCCTGAAGGTAACCACTGCCTTGTGAGAATTGGTACCAGGCAGGGGGCTGTGCCCTGGGCTGTATGACTCATATCACAGGTGGTGAGGGACTGAATATGACAGGCTACAAGGCTGGGGTCATGGAGCATCTGAGGCCAAGGGGCAGGACAGGGTGGGCATCCTCACGCAGAGCTGCCTTCAAGGTAAAGGTTGGTGTTCTTGACTGTGGAGTACTTGATGTTGAGGTCCAGGTCTTTCACAGTCTTCTCGTCCAGGCAGTGAGGCCAACCTGGGATGTATGTCTTCCAGCTGGAGGGAGGGCAGAGCATACAGCTGGTCAGCAAGAGGCCTCAGGGAGCCCCTTGACTAGGGCAGAGGGAGTGGCGGCCCCCCTGTGGGTCCTGGTCAGAGCTGGCTCCCTTCTGTGAGCAAGGGCCTTCCTGGGATCTCTGCTTCCCCTCCAGAACAAGGCTGCTGAGGAGATGCCATGTCCCACTGAGACTTCTCCCCTGGCCATGGTTGGTTGACCCAGGGCTAAGCATCTGACCAGAGCTGGGCCAATGAGTCCTTCCCAAGGGATTCAAGATTGAGGCCGAACCACAGAGATGGTCTCTCTCTCTCTCTGGATATCTGGATTATGGCATGTAAAGATAGGGGCTGTGGGATGGTGGTTAAGCTGCTACATTCCCCCATGGCTGACTGTGGTTTGAGTCCCAGCCCTGCGGCTTGAGAATCACGCTGGCTGGCGTGTGTGTGTGTGTGTGTGTGTGTGTGTGTGCGCGTGCCCAAAATCCTGAGAGAAGAATGGAGGAGAAGGCTGCATGGCCATCCCCCATAGAGGGTAATTTCTTACTTTCTCTGTCTCCCTCTGGCAAACACATGGCAAAAACCTTAAAAAGGGGTAGGGAGGCACGAGGGACGCACGTGCATGTGTGTCTAAAATCCCAAGAGGAGAATGGAGAAGAAAGGATTGCAGCACGACCATCCCCCCAGGGCATGCTTTTTGTTACTAGCCATTCTAACTAACAAGAGAGGATACTTTATCATGGTTTTGATTTGCATTCTCTTGATGATGAAAGAAGGTGAGCACTTTTTTTCCATATATTAATACTTTCTGGCCATTTGTATGTCTTCATTTGAGAAATCTCTATTCAATTTTTTTTTCCCAGAGAGCATGTGTACTCTCCAGAGAGAGACAGAAAGAAGGAGAAAGCACCCCAATGAGGCGTGGCCATGCCCCAATCACTTCTCCTCCATTTCTCCATCCTGTTGAAATCTGGCACACGCCCATCCATGCAACTGACATGTTTTTCAAACTGTTGGGGCCAGAACTTGACTTGTGTCAACCATGTGGGATCCAGCTCCCTTAACCACTAGGCATGAGGCCACCCCTGTCCATTTACAAATTGGAGTCTTTGGTTTTTGCCACTGGGTTGTTTGAGTTCTGGAGACACACACAGAGAGAAGTCCCCTTAGTTTCTGGCCTGTGAGACCTGGCTACACTTCCTGCCCACACTTCGGTAAATATCTCCGTGCCTTGCTGACAAATCTCTTTTTGTTCTGCCTGCTAGTTGGAGTTTGCTTTTGTTCTTGCAACCACATAATTCCTGGCTAACACAAATGGACTTGCAGAGAGAAGACTGTCCTGAAACAGGGACTGCTCCAAAGGTTTCAGCTGCCTCTCCTCAGCAGACATCTCACAACCCCCACAACTTGGGGGAGCCACAGCAGTTTCCTCTGCCCCAGCCGATGGCATCTCTAAATCCTATTACCAAACAAGCAGACACAGGCCCAGCTACTGCAGAGCAGGGCTAATACAAGTGCCCTGCAAGGTTGAAGGCATCTGGCCGACAGAGGATTCAGCTCTCCCAGTCAGCCTGAAAACAGGCCGGGAATGTGAGTTGGGTACCCAAGACTTTTTTTTTTAATATTTAATTTTATTTATTATTATAATTATTCTTTAATTCCCCAGAAAGAGACAGAGACAGAGATGGAGAGAGAAAGAAAGAGGGAGAGAAATGAGAAAGCAAGCCACCAGGTCTGAGACTCAAACCATAGTAGGCCATGTGGGAGTCCAGTATCTTAACCACCATGCCACCTGCTAGCCCCAGGATCTTAAGGAGCAGGAGGGGAGGGGAAAGAGAATCTCAGTGTGGTGAGACCCTGTCAAAGCTTCTCTCTTGCACGTGTGTGTGCACAAATGCACTCTCTTTCATGAACATGAATAAACAAAAAATCCCAAGCAACACAGCTGAAGAACTTTGGGGAAAATGGTAAAATCCCATCCCTGTAAGCAGAGGCCCTCCAGTCTGTCCTCCTCTCATTCATTTTTTCTTTGGTCCATTCAACTATCGCTTTTGGGTTGGAACTTTCCACTTGGAAGCACGATTTGCAATTAAAGCACACGGCCACCAGGTGGTGACCAAATCCTGCTTCTCAGACTCGAATGTGTGTCTGTCAAGGACTGTGGTGCTCACTTACACCTAGAGAGCTTGGTGAAATGCAGATTCTGTGTCAGTAGCTCTGGGTGAGCCCAAGGCGTTATCATTAACGAGCCCCAGGCCATGCGGTGCCGTGCAATTGAGGTATCACTTTAAGGGTGAAGGGCCTAGAGAGTCGGAGTAGAACTGACTGGGAGACTGAACGAATAGCAGCAGCACACACTTGGCAGCTGACTGACTAGCTCCGTTCTTACCCATTTAGCCATTTGGTCTCCCTAATAACCCAGGTGCGACTGGTAATCTTAGCGTCTTTGGCAGAAGAAAATAAGGATTAAAGTGATTAAATGACTTGCCTAAGATCTCACAACTGCTTTGGGCAGGACCTAGACGGGTCCTGGACCTCCACAGACAGACCTCAATGTCCGTCCCTCTCCTGGGCCTGCTACTGGCAGGTGTGGTGCAATGGTTTTCTCGGGAGTGAAATTCAGGACACACATAGACTCACCAGGAACCGAATAATCCCCTGACTTCTGTGTCCCCAGAGACCAGTACAAAGCCTGCATCTGAGCGCAGTTCCTGACACTCTGCGTCAGGAATCCTCACCAGTGGCCCCAGCTCCCTTGCAACCTCCACCCTTTGACAGCCCCCCAGAGCACACTCCCATAGGCCAGAAGGAGGCACGTGTGTGTGTGTGTGTGTGTTAGTCTGTGTCATCACCCGCAGCACCCAGGCGCAGCTCATCCTCTGGGCCCCCTCCTCACCGGTACTTGTGCTGCCTGGCCTGCAGCTCCTCCCTGCGCTGTTGTTGGAGTATGGGGTGGTCGTCCTCTCCTGGGACCTTGGCTGTGGGAGGAGGGGGTAGGTGGGGAGAGGAAGAGAAAAGCCATCCTAACCTCTGGCCCCAGCCATGCCCCCTCCACTATTACCGCCCCTTTCTAACCCGCTCCCCCCACACCAGGTAAGTACAGTGGTTCCCACACCAGGCTGCCACCTCCCACTTCTCTCAGCCCCCTCCTCTGCCTGCCCCCCTTACCCAGCTCACACCTGCGCAGCTCCACTCCGCAGGCCCTTTCCCCAGCATCATTCTCCTCCCCCCCTTCTACCTCTCCCGAGGTCCCAGCTCAAACCCTTCTCCCTCACCTGCCCCCTTCCACAGCACCAGGCTCCCCGCCCCCTCCAGCCACTGGTAGCAGGGGAAGAGGAGAGGGGCATCGGTCGGTGGCCTGAGCTGGAGCCAGCGGCAGAACCAGGCGTCCGGGGCCAGGGGCCCAAGCGGGCAAGGCAGCGCCAGGGGTGCCTTGTGCACGCGCAGCAGCAGCACCTGGCCCACGTCCTGGGGGAGTGTCACCTCGAAGTCCTCCTCCTGAGGGAAGGGTTAGTATATACGAGGACCGAGGACGGAGGACCGAGGACCGTCCCTTCAGCTCCTTCTAGCTCCCACCCGCTGCCTCCTCCACCCCCAACCCTACCCACTCTTCTCTATCCCCACACACTCACAGCGCCCGCAGAGAACTCCTTTCCGAAATGGTCCAGGGGCAGTGGGGGGCTCTCTCCCTTGGTTCCCACAAGGCTGACAGTCACTTTGTCCCACGTGCCAGCCCCGAAGGCCGCCCCGGTGGACACCCTCACCCTGAACTTGGCCATGCTGCCAGTTGGAGTCTGAGTCTACTGCGAGCCCAGCTGCAGAGCTGGTGGCTCCCTCCCGGGGATGTACCTCGCTCCGCCCTGGCCAAGCCCGGTTCTTGAAAAGCTGGTTAGCGTCAGGGCTCCCAGTGCCCCCGGGGCTCCATCACCGCCCCCAACAGCACGTTCCTGATTCCGAGCAGTAAGGGGCGGGGTCTGAGGTGTGAGGTAGGTGTGGGGAGTGGACAGTGGGGCAAGGAAGGGGCAGGCGTCCTGAGGTTTGGGGAACAGGACCTTTCAGTGACGGTGCCTGGCCGGAGAGCCAGAGTTGGGACGCAGCTGGAGTGGAGAGTATATTTGCACTTCTGCTCTTTATTTGCCTATGCAGAAGGAGGGAGTGAGAATAAATTGTGTGGGGGGAGGGCCCTAAAGGCTCAGGGGAGGTGACCTGCGAGCTGAGATCCCAGAAAGGGTATGTCTGAGGCAGAAGAGAGTTAGTGTGGAGGGAACAGTGTGTGCAAAGGCCCTGAAGTTAGGGAGAACATGGCTTGTTGGAGGAAAGGCAGGACTACAATGAGAGGGAGAGAGGGATGTCAGGGGGCATTATGGATTTTAGCTCTAGAGGAGTAACAGAGTTGGGAATTCCAATCTGAAATTTCTCTCTCTCTCTCTCTCTCTTTTGAGAGAGATTTTTGTAATAGGGCACGTACCCTCACCAGAGAGACAGAAAATAAGAAATCACCACCACCACCCCTCCCACCCCCCCAGGGGATGGCCGCAGCGCAATCCTTTCTCCTCCATTTTCCTCTCTGGATTTTGGGCATGCACACACATACACCCAGCGTGAGTTTTAAGTTGCTGGGTCCAGGACTTGAACTGTGGTTGGCTATGTGGGAATCCGGCAGTGCAACCACCTGCTGGTCCCTAGTCTGGAAATTCTAAGTCTGAGATGCTTATTGAGCATCCAAGAAAGAAACAACATCTGGGCCTTGGACCTCAGACCTCCAAACCATGAGCTGAATAAATCTCTATTTTAATAAATTACTCAGATTCAGGTATGTTCTGTTATTAGCAACAGGATGGACTAGAACATTATGTGAAACATGAACAAGAACAACACATTTTTAAAAAACAGTTAATTAATTAATTTTTAAAATAAATATTTATTTTATTATTTATTTATTCATTCATTGATTTTTCAAATTCGACCAGAGAGAGAGACAGAGGGTGAGAGGGAGAGAGAGAGGAAGTGAGAAAGCAAGCCACCAGGTCCAGGACTTGAACCCCGGTTGGCCATGTGGGAATGTCCAGCACCTTGACCACCACGCCACCTGCTGGTCCCATAATTAATTAATTTTAAATTTGATCAGAGAGAGAAAGTGAGAAAGCAAGCTGCCAGGTCCGGGACTCCGACTGCGGTGTGCATTGTAGGGATCCAACGCCTTAACCGCCATGCCACCTGCAGGTCCCTCAATTGACTTTTTATTTCTTTTATCTTGTTTTTCATTTAACTGTCTTTGTTCTGTGTACATATTGTTAATAGTATGCTGTTTATGTTTCATGGTTGCAATAGTTTCCCTTACTTCCCTGAGGATAGTAGAAATTGAGTACTTTGGATTTTTGTTTCTGATATTTGTGGTAAATCAGAGAACTTCAAAAATTGTGTGGAAATAGAGAATTAAATGATATGTTTACCTTGGTGCAAAAAAGATTCGAGGCTGAGCCAGCTCTGTGGCATAGCAGCAGGACCACATATGGCCAACTCAAGTTCAAATCTTGGCCCAGCATCTTGAAAAACACACCAAGGCTTTTTGGCCGGAACTGCCATCTTCCAGTAATTAACCAAAATGACGAGCACAAAGGGAAAGCTGAGAGGCACCCGATACATGTTCTCTAGGCCTTTCAGAAAACATGGAGTGGTTCCTTTGGCGACATATATGCGAATCTACAAGAAAGGTGATATTGTAGACATCAAGGGAATGGGTACTGTTCAGAAAGGAATGCCCCACAAATGTTACCATGGCAAAACTGGAAGAGTCTACAGTGTTACCCAGCATGCTGTTGGCATTGTTGTGAACCAACAAGTTAAGGGCAAGATTCTTGCCAAGAGAATCAATGTGTGTATTGAGCATATTAAGCGTTCTAAGAGCAGAGATAGCTTCCTAAAACGTGTGAAGGAAAATGACCAGAAAAAGAAAGAAGCCAAAGAGAAAGGGACCTGGGTTCAACTAAAGCGCCAGCCTGCTCCACCCAGAGAAGCACACTCTGTGAGAACCAATGGAAAGGAGCCGGAGCTACTGGAACCTATTCCCTATGAATTCATGGCATGATGGGTGTTAAAAATAAACTAACCTGTGGTCTATTAAAAAAAAGCAAAACAAATAAACAAACAAAAACACACCTAGCATAAGTGTGTACATGTCTTCAATCCTGAGCGGATACACAAATGAAGGCAAAAGGGTTGCAACATGACCGTGCCCCATTAGGGAGTGTTTTCTTCTTTTCTTTCTGACAAACACACAAACTCTGGCAAAAAGAAAACAAAATGGAAATGTATGCATAGTTTTCTCATAATACTCATTTTCCAGAACTTTCTGAAGATCCCATCATATGCTTATTTCTGTTATCTATTGCTGCAAATTAAACCACTGCAAATCATAGTAGCTTAAATCACCAAGAGTCATTTATCTGTAGATCATTTTGCAACGTAGGCAGGGCTCTGTGTCGTTCTTCACATTTACCTGGGGGACAAGATGGCCAGGAATTTCCAAACTGGCTTCACTCCCAGGTCTGGAATGGCTGGGGACTGGCTGGGTCTTTTCCCACATTTCTTCTGTTGGTCAATAATCCTGCCTGAGCTTTTCATTACATGGTGCTTGGGTCCCAAGATGTCTCTTACAGCCGGGGCCAGTAGCAGGCACAGATTTTAACTATGGATTTCTTTCATGAGCACACATGCAAGAGAGATAGATAGACAGAGGCAGAGATAGCACCCCAATGGGGTTTGTTTTTTGTTTGTTTGTTTTAAGAATTATTTATTTGCGGGGGGGAGAGGGAAGAAGGGAAGAGTATAGAGAATGATAGCACAAGAACAAATAGAGAGGCATGACATTTGTGGGACACAGAAATGGTTTATTATGGGACTGGCAAGTGGCATGGTGGTTAAAGGCGCTGGACTCCCACATAGCCAACTATGGTTCAAGTCTCGTACCTGGTGGCTTGCTTTCTCACTTCCCCTCTCTCTCTGTCTCTCTGTGATCAAACTGGAAAATAATAATGATAATAATAATAAATAAAGTTAAATAAAATAACTCTTAAAAAAAAGAAATGGTTTATTACCTGTTGATGATACCATAGATAGTATTCTCAACTGGACTGGTCTGAGTATTTCATGTTAGGTAAATTCTCTTTACAAGCCAAATGATGTATGGTGAATGTTTAAAAAAAATAAGAAGAGGGAACCAGCAGTTAGCGTAAATGGCTATGTTGCTGGACTCCCACGTAGTTGACCGCGGTTCGCGTCCCGGACCCTGTGGCTTAAAACTCACGCCGGGCGCATGTGCGTGCGTGCCCAAGATCCCGAGAGGAGAATGGAGGAGAAGGGATTGCGGCATGACCATCCCCCCTGGGGGGTGATTTCTCGCTTTCTAT